TCACAGAACACCAACCATGCCGCGCGACACCGTACGATGGCCCCTGTTCAGCACAAGAATCTTTTATTTATTTATTTATTTATCTTTTAAAGGAATGTGAGGCGGGAAACGTGCCCGCTACTTCATCTTCAGCAACGCTCGTCTTAAAAACAAAAAAAACATTTCAGTCGACTGCAGCCACTTTGGAGGTTTTTCTTCTGGTCGGCTGTTTACAAACAAAACAAAACAACATAAAAAAAACTTTAAACAGCGCCCGGCGTCGTGTCTGACAAACCTTCAGTGTGCGTCCAGAATATTTACACAAGTTGTCCTTTTGGTTGTTGACGGATCAGAAGGAACCGGCTGAACATTTTGTTTTTCACAACAGGACAGAAATAATGAAAACCTTTTTCACTTTTCAAACCAGTGTTTCCCACACAGCAGCAGAGGGCAGAAACAGAAACGAAAGTGTGTGTGTGTTGGTAAATACTGTCGTATGCGTGCGTGACTTTAAGTGGAGGTTATACAACATCTACTTGTGACAGTCCAACAACAGGTTCCTTTAAGTGACTGGCCTTTGTCATAAATCGTCTAAACATCTCTATAGAACATCTGTACACATTCACTACAAGCTATTGCTATTAAATAATCCCAGCTATTGTAGGCTTTGTTTATATTTATATATAGAATATTTAATAAAAAATATACTGAGCTGAAAAAAAAGAGAGAGACTTCTAGGTGTAAGACCGTGTAACGTTTCCACTGAATGGGTGAGACATGGGGCTGAGTTCTGTGGAGATCAGTTTTGCTGAAGAGGTCCTGGCTGCAGTGAGCGGATCAGTCGGACCTTCGGCGTGTTTGCGAGAGCTAAAAAAAGACTCGAGCTGCGACGGGGCGAACGGGAAACGAGGCGACGGTGACGAGACACGACGGGCTGAAGGTGACGATGGACATGCTCTCAGTCTGGAACAGGAATGGGAACAAGTTGGAACCTGTAGAAAAGATTGGACCCGGCGAGGAAACCATAACAGACAGAGAGCCAAAAGTCTATACATATATACCTATACATGAGTAATACATGTGGCTGGAACGAGCTCCAGGCAGTCTTAGCAGTAATGGAGAGTGCGTGTGTGCATGTGTGTGTGTGTGTGTGTGAGTGAGTGTGGAGTGTGAGAGAGAGAGAGAGACTGGGACGGTGACAGCACCAGCAGTCGGTCTGCAGCCCCACCATCAGGCCGGTGGAGGCAGGCTCCTATTTGTCCTTGTCCGAGTAGAACTCCGCCCAGCGGCTCTCGAAGAAACGCCTCATCGAGTGTCCCGCCAGCCCCACTTCTGACGTGTCCTCGTTGAAGAGCTCGCAGTTGTTGAAGACCAGCTGAGCGTCTGCGGCGAACTCCTCGCAGCTGCAGTACCTGACACACAACAGAGACAAAGACCAGAGTCAAAACAACCGAAACTAAACAATGAAAAGTATTATTAAAGTGTAACTTACCCCCCCTGTGAAAAGATAACTCCGCCCCAAGGCGAAATTTGAAAAATGCATCAAAGTGGGTAGGGGAGGGGGTGTGGGTGGAGGAAGGGGGGTTAGAGAGCGGAGGTGTGGCCAGGTCGAGAGAACGTGCTAGCATTAGCATAATTGATGCTACATGGAGAGTGACCACAGTTTCGCAGACAGTTACATCTCTGAACGTCTGAGG